GCAGAGCCCTGGCCCAGTTGGTCAAGCACTTTGGTTGGACTTGGGTTGGAGCTATTAGAACAAATGATGATTACGGCAATAATGGTATGGCCACATTCACAGAAACCGCCCAGCAGCTGGGCATTTGTCTGGAATACTCTGTATCTTTCTTCAGGACAGATCCACCAGAAAAAGTACAAAAAATCATTGACATTATCAAGGCTTCCACTTCTAAGGTGATTGTCACTTTCCTCTCCCACATGGATATAGACATACTAATACATGAGATGTCTCTCCACAACTTGACTGGGTACCAGTGGGTAGGCACTGAGGCCTGGATCTTTGATTTCCAAACTGCAGCCATGGATAGGCATCACATTTTGGATGGTGCCATAGGCCTGTTCATCCCAAAAGCACATGTCAGTGGAATGAGAGAGTTCATTTTGGATGTGAAGTCACTAAATTCATCCAGCAATGAATTGTTTACAGAGTTTTGGGAGACATTATTTAGCTGTAAGTTCAAGCAGTCAAAGTCATCAGCAGAAAATCAGAGAGAATGTACTGGAGATGAAGATCTGATTGGAGTGCAAAACAGCTACACTGATATGTCGCTCATGCCTATCTTTTACAATGTCTATAAAGGAGTGTATGCTGTGGCCCATGCACTTCATAATATTCTCAGCTGTAATAAAACATGTAACAGGAAGGTGCAGCTAGATCCATTTATGGTGAGTTGAACTAAAAGACTAAAATACTTTTTATATTGAGTCATGTTAACAAAGAAAATAGTTTAGTATAATGGTTGATGGTTATTGGAAAATAAATTGTTGCAGTCTGTCATTCATGCTGTTCAGACAATACGACTACAAAATGTTTGATGATGATCTATATTAATGCATATCTTCTTAGATTTTACAGCACATAAAAAAGATTAAATTCAAAACAAAGGAAGGAGATGAGGTTTACTTCAATGAGTATGGAGACCCAGCAGCAAAGTATGAAATTATAAACTGGCAGCCAACAGAAAATGGCATTGTGGACTTTGTCACAGTTGGTCTTTATGATGCATCTTTACCTGCAGACAAACAGCTGAATCTGCAAAATAAGTCTTTAATTTGGGCACAGAACTCACAACAGGTAAGCTACCATGTGATCACTGTAAGTGATTGAAATTAATGCAAGTCTATCTGAATTGTAATAATTGATAAGGTGTTAGTTATTGTTATTGGATAATTATACTGTTTGGTTCGATTCATAAAAATTAACAATAGATCCTTGCAGACAACACCTAATCAAAGTGAAAAAATTAAATTTTCTCATAGTAGATTTGTTCATGCAGGTGCCAGTGTCAGTGTGCAGTGAGAAATGTCGCCCAGGAACTCGCAAGGTTCTCCAGAAAGGAAAGCCTATCTGTTGCTATGATTGTATCAGATGTGCAGAGGGAGAAATAAGCAACATTACAGGTGTAGTAATATTAAGTGCCAAACAAAACAAAAGTCGAAAAGTTATCATCTTCACATGATAATGTTAAAGGTTATCTTTCATGATAATACAATGTAGATGTCATTATGTTATAAATTTATCACCTGTTAATCATGTAATGTCTGTCTCATAGGCACAGAAAAGATGCAACATAGAGACAACAAAGACAAATGTAGTGAGCAAGCCTAACACGTGCTTGTGTATTATTTTTCAGATTCTATCACCTGTGTGAGATGTGACCCTGAGTTCTGGTCAAATGAGAGAAGAGATGCCTGTGTAAATAAGGAGGCAGAGTTTCTATCATATGAAGAGATTATGGGAGCACTGCTTACTGCAGCCTCTCTATTTGGAACATGTATGACTGCTGTTGTGGCATTCATTTTCTTCAGATACAGGAAAACCCCTATTGTCAGAGCCAACAACTCTGAGCTGAGCTTCTTGCTGCTCTTCTCAT